ATATACATATATTCATATATATATATATACATATTCATATATATATATGTATATATATATATACATAAATATATATTTATATCTACATATATATATATATTTATTCTCAATCTGTTCTCATTCTACAACCGCATACACGACATACAGAGTCACACATATACTTCTTACATCGGAGAGATCTATATATTTATAAACACCGTGTAGTCATTAGCATATGGGCCATATTCATTGCACTATTAGATTCAATTGCAAATTAGGAATGGCTACCTTAACATTGAGAAGATATGTCAAAAATAGGAAGAAACTATAAATCGGCAACTGTTCAATGTTATAAACCAGTTTAATCAGACATATACGCTGATACGTTAAGAGATAAGAACCCTTGAACTACATTACACGCACACACCTTCCTCATGCTCAGTAATTGAGCAATTAAAAGATATTCTAAGCAGTTCTAGCGGCCACCGAGGCATACATAAATTTGTATAGATATATACATATATATACATATATAGATATATATATATAGATATATATAAATATATATATATATATATATATATATTGTCGCTTGAATAGTCTTACTTGAATAGTCTTAATCACAGACATGAAAAATCGTAAATCCACGAAGGCATACACACCACACCACCCACGCTTTTCCTCAGCACATGTGTGCACTCACTCAAATACCCACAGTGAGACACATACTTATTCGCATCGCAGGGGAACTGTACGACGATCTTCTTGCCCTTCATATCCTGCACCCACGTGGGTGTCAGTAGCAGATCCGTCTCCAGCACATCTGCCAGCAGCTCAGCCACATCCAGTGTGATATATTCTGAGGCGTCATCGGCCATCTTGTCGTGGTTGGCTTGCATGCCCTTGCTGAGTTGCGATAAGATGTGTTTGGACGACGGCCGTGAGGGGTTGATAGAATCTGGAACAGAAGGAAGATGTATAAGGAATCGGCTCGAGTATTGAGGTGATTGACAAACCATTGAGAATGCCCAGGATAGATGAGATCGGGTATACTTGGACTTGAGAGAATAAGTTCTCACAGACCAGGAATCGATTCCTTGGACATCATTTCTCGTGTACAAAGTAGGAAGACGTGGAAAACGTACGTACATGTGTATACAGGAAAAGTACGCAGAAATATACTCGGGCTCAAAAGGTATGCATACACAGATACAAATATATATATACAGCACAAATATTTGCAGGTGTATGCCCCCAATGCACGGTAGATATACACATGGTGGCATTAACTACGAACAGACGCATACTAATACTTATAACTGTATATTACATGTTTACAGAGAAATCAAAACATGCACACACTAATATATACACACTTACAAATAAAAATACAAATAGGATCCCACACGCACACACACCTGAATACACACACACACACACACACACACATATATATATATATATATATATATGTATAACGGCCTATCAGTATATAACGACACGACACACACACACACACACACATATATATATATATATATATATATATACACACACATATATATAAATATATATACTTACATGCATACACATACATACATACATACATACATATATATATATATATATATACATATAAAAACGTATGTATTTATTTATACATACGTATGTATTTATATATAATATATAAATATAATTTGTATTTACAATCATACACATACATACATACATATATATATATATATATATGTAAACATATATTGTATAGATGCTAATACCATATACGTATACATACAAACATACATTTTATACACACACACACACACACACATATATATATATATATACTACATATATATATATATATATATATATATATATATAATAATATATATAGTAGTAGTAATTAGTATTATTATTTT